CTCTTATTGTTTGTCCAACAATAAGAGCAAAAGGGAGCATGAAGGTCAGGATGCAGAACTTGCCCCAAACAGCATCTTACCTTCCTAATCTCCCCTCTCCCTGTGTGTGTGTGTCTGTGTGTGTGTGTGTGTGTGTGTGTACGTATGTCTGTTTGCTAGTTTGTTGTTTTCTCCCAAGAACACCTGGGGTTTGATATAGCAAGCAAGCCTGGCTGGGATAAAGCCACCCAAGAACATCATTAGAAGACACCTTGTTAGAATTAACATGGCAATGCCTCCAACAGTTCTTGAGACCAAGTTATAGAATTCAATCATCAACAACACCACCAGAAGGAAATGCTGCAGCCGGCAGCTAGATGTTCAGCAGCAGACAGACAAGGATCACCATTTTCAAAGGGTTGGTGAGCTACCTGCAGATGAAATCAGAAAGGTCACATCTGAAATGAAATGCACTCCCATTACAATAGTTCTGCTTTGCCAGTATCTGGGTGGGTTCACCAGTGCACTGAGTGCTCTATCTCCACTTTAATCTTTAAGAAAACAGGTCTGATAGCAGGTTAGAGGCGGGGCACAGTTTTCAAAATGCAATTATTGGTTCCCTGCCATGTATGGGATAGAACCAAGGCTAGGAGGCCTGCAAAGAGATGGGTGTCAAAGACCTTACATTCCATTTGTTGTCCTTTGATATCCTTGTAACATATTGTTAAGACCCAATATAATCTTTAAAATAAATACATACAGGTAAAAGTCAGTAGGAACTAGTATAATAGGAATAAAGGACAAAGACAAGAATTTTAGATCTGCCGTTGTCAGAGACAGCTAGTCTTTAACTCTACCAGTTTTTTCCTTTGGTTTGAATAAGACAAAGTGTACCCAAGGTTATAGAGAACAAAAGAAGAAATAAAATAGGACTGGGGGTGGGGGGGTAAGGGAATGGGAAGTGACCAAGAGTTTACCTTTCATTTTTCTTATTCCTTCCCACTTTTTCAAGGCAATCAGGAAGTTAGCATCCCAAGAGTCTTTGTGCAATGCGTGGATCCACCTTCAGTCATCTCCTGTACCAGCCTGCCAACATCCTGATATTATCAGAGGCCCATCTCACTTGCCTACTACCAAGGGTAGTTAGGCTGGTGAGTAAAAGCAAGAAAAGCCTTCTCAGTAGTGGTCCCACACCTTTGAAATTGGATTCCCATAAGTAGTTCCCACATCTTATGCCTTCTCATACATCTGAGCTATTGGTTTTTAATTGGCAAAATGTGTTTCTACTGATTTTAGTTGATAATCTATGTTTTACTGAATAGGTCTCAATTTTTAGCATATCCACTTTGTGTGTTTGCATTTCTTTTTTTGTTGTCTTGAAAGGGTCTCATCCTTTAAGGGCAATCTAGAAGTAATTTTAGACAGAGTTCACACAACACAATAACCCATATTCAAAGCTGAGTGTGGGTTGAGTGTGGGTTGTCAGAGAACTGTGGATTGCTGTGTGAACCCAGCTGTGCTAAGAAACCATGGTTTTTTGAGCAGAAACTGGCTGTTGGGGTTAACAAACTATTGTCCATTAGTGCGGCTGGACTCTCAGAGGTTCAACAACCCACAACAGCTAGTAAAGGTTCAACCAATAATCAGCTTGAGTGTGAATCCAGCCAGTGATAGGCATACGGCCGGGCATACAAATGTTCCAGTTCTGTTCACCTGTCCACCACAATTACCAAAGAAGGTATAATAACAAACATTACCTGCAATGGAGGAGCAAAAGAAGAAATGTAGAGAACTCAAGCACACCCAGCAAGCCTTGAAATAACACAAGGCAAGCCCCTTGGCATTACTGACTAGAAATTGCTTATAAAAATTTACAAGCCAACCTGCTTGGAGAGAAAAGTCTACAGCCCCTGAGGCGCAGACATGCATTTTACATTCTTCCATGCTACTGACCCATTTATAGCTCTTTTCAAAGATATGGATTCCCCTTATGTCACTACCATGATATTCATTCACCCTGACAAGACTGCAGTTACTACTTCACACACACACACACACACAGAGGAACCTTCTTCCTGCAGCACAAATCCCATCACACTCAAAATAAATTTGCCAGGTTTTCTTTTTCCTCCATCTCAACTTTAACTCCTGATGCACAATAGTATTATCCAGCAAGCTTTTTGGCAGTGGATTGAAGTGCCAGAACACAGGTGGATCTGAGAAGTTCCTGCACATTATTTGGGAACTGAAGAGTATCCACACCGAAGAACTGGTCTGCAGAATACGGAGAAAGGTACTAACAGCTCCACATGGTATGTAGCATCCAATGTTTCCCCCACAACAGAGACAATGTACAAGTGCATTTCTTTAATTGGGGATGGGGAGAATAAGTGAAAGAGGAGGAGATTTTCTTAAGGCTTGCGTATGGGTTGTCACTGAACGGTGGGTGGGCTGTTGCTGAAACAGGTGTTATCATATCGTCTGAACCCAGTGGAAGAAATTTCATGAACGATCCACATCTCACAATCCAACAACAAACCGTGCTTGTAGTTAACCAGCCATTGCTTGTTAGAGCAGCTGTGTCCAAACATGATTCAACAACAAGCCACAGTTCAATGGTAACACATACTCATTCCTTCAGTATGCGTTATCATTTTGTCCATTGCCACTCTATGTAAGACAGAAATATATTAAGGCAAATCCTGGCCCACCCACACAACTATTTTTCCTGCCCTTGCCTCCATCTGAAAAGGGGCATTACTGGGTTGGAAAAAGTGCAGAGAAGGGCAACTATAATGGTGAAAAGGCTGTAGCAACTCCCCTGTGCAGAACAGTTGTGACCACTATGATTATTTCGCTAAGAAAAAGTGCTAGTAAGGGGAGAAAAGATACAGGTGCTTAAAATTATGCATGGTGTACAGAAAGTGACTAGTGAGACATTACTGTCTCTCCCCCACAACACTAGAACCCGAGGTCAGCCCATGAATCTGATTGCTGGGATGTTCATAACAGATAAAATACTTTCCCGCAAAGCATATAGTTAAGCTATGGAATTCACAGCCATAGGAGATAGTGATGATCATCAATTTAAAAGCTTTAAAAGTAGACAAGACAAATTCCTGGAGGAGAAGGCTATCAGTGGCTACTAGCCTTGCTGGCTATGTGCTGCCTCCATTACCAGAGGCCGCATGCCTGTGTACACCAGTTGCTGAGGAGCTTGGGCAGGCAGAACTCTTATACCCATCCTGCTTGAGGGATCCTGTGGGAAGCTTTTTTGCCACCATGCAGACTGCTGGACAAGATGGACCATCAGTCTGATCCAGCATGGCATTTTTTCTCCAGACACTCACAGTTTGGTGACACCCTGGCTTTTGTACAATTTCCCCCACCCCTATGCTAACAGGCTGAAGTGCCTTCCTAAGATTTAAATTCTAGCAGTCATAGCTTTAAGCTAAAATGTGCTTATTTGTGGAATTGCTGGCATTTCCCACCACACACTTTTGCCATTGGCCCCTGCCCTTTCTGCCTTTAGCTCCACCCACTGCTGGACTATACCACTCTTCGCCACCACAGCTTTTCCAAAAGTTCGGGGTGAAAGGGGCTCAACACCTCTGGTATAGTTCATAAAGGCTCCAAGGCATGCAGATGCAGCCATTTAAGGTTGTGGACCTGTCGTTTACTATTTGCATACTAGCTGCAGACCCTGATTTATATCATGGAAAACACAGCTTCCCCATTAACCTCTGCAACTTGCTTTCCAAGCTTATATGTGCAGCACCCTGCTGCTGTCTTTTTGCCTTCTTCCTGTGACAGCACTGGATCAAAGGTATGGGAGATGCCATGACAAAACAAAGATTAGCTATGCACAGAACAGAATGAAGGAATACTGGTTGCTCAGGATTTACGACAGTAATTCAGCAGAATGGAGGCAACTGGCATATTCACAGAGCACAGAATTTCAAAAGAAACAAAACTGCCCTAATCTAAGAAAAAGCTCTCGCATCCCTTATCAGCACAAGGCTCAGCTATAAGTATGTGAGGTCTTGTGCATGTCATCCATGCTTCAGATCAGGGAAGGGCTTCTCTGTGGGGTACCCAAAGTATACTTAGATATAATTGGCATCCAGAGCAGCTATGGAGCACCAGAAAGGTAAAAAAGGAGTCAAAATGGCCACTCGGGGCATCATGTTTAAATGTTTTAAAAAGCATAAGCAGCAGTGGTAAGTGACAGGGCTACCCATGGTCTACATGCTTTACAGGTTTACTGTGAGGAAACACATTGTTGCTGTGCGTGTGCACACCGTCAAGCCTCAGGCGCACTTACCGGAGGTTAGCCATGCTCAGGTTTGGAGGGTGAAACTGCTTGTGAGACTGGGCAGCCACAAGCTGCCGCTCAAGGTCCTGGGACTCAGCTGAGGCAGCAGAAGAAATCAGCACGAGGAAGGACAGAGACACAGATCATGCCAGCCATGGGAATGACGGGAAGTAACAGGGGATGTTGAAATGGGAGATCTTTCCAGCGGAGACCAATCCTCCCCTTGGTCCCCTTGGGAGGCGGACGTGGTGGTTTGGCACCAGCACTGCCCAGAAGCCCAACTAGAGGTGCAACAGGGGGAGTAGAGGCAAGCCCGTTTCCACAGTGCACCTCCTCCAGGATTGGGGTGCAGACAGGTTCATAAGGAGAAATGATTCGCAGATAGAATTCAATGTGCTACTTTGTGTGTGTTCAGAAACTTGTGTGAAACAATGAAGATTATTAAGTAAAGAAACTGTTTGAGGCGGGGGCTGGACAGAGAGAGATACACCATTCTCAACACTTGTAACCTTGACATGCATACCTATGACAAATGAACTGCAATGCATACAGTTTGCTTCAGATGAAATTTACCAGGAAAACAATTAAATTATGAGGTGACTCTTTTAAAAAAGGTAGTAAGGCCATGCAGCAGACTTTTTTTTAATGTGGTGAGCATCTGTTTAAAGAAATGAAAGGACAATTAAAATACTTAAAGAAAACTCACCGAATCCCCGGCTCCTGGGCTACTTTATTTCCGTTCAAGCTCTGTTCAGACACTACAGGAGAGAAAACAAAAGGTTGGGAGATTTTTTATCACTTTAAAAACAAACCCAGATGAACAGAAATACATCTCAGACTTCTCCCCTCTGTTCTTTACAAGTTCAAGGTTTTCTTTTCTGATGCTTGAACAATGTAAGCCACTCAGTCCATTCTGCAGCAATCCCACTTGGCATAGGCACTCAGCCTCCCCTGTAGTTAACAGGCATCCAAGGGTCTCCACTGCAGTGCCCATGCTCACCAATGCGCCTGCGCACATCCCTTCTTGGTGCCTGCCATGCTCTCCACCCTTCCTGGCTTTTATCTTATTTCTTAAACTTTAAAAAATCCAATTTGTTTTTATCTAGGATGCTAGCATGCCACAAAAAAGGGTAGTAGAAGGGACATGGGGAATTACAGACCAGTTAGCCTTATGTCCATTGTAGGAAAAATAATGGAAAGGCTCATAATAGAGAGAGATCTAGTGATGCTAGATAGGGAAGGGAGGCTGGCAGCCACACAACATGGCTTCTGCAAAAACAGGTCCTGCCAGACAAGCCTTGTGGAATTCTATGACAAGGTTTCGAGATGGCTAGATGGAGGGGATGCAGTGGATGTGGTTTACCTGGATTTCAGCAAGGCCTTTGACAAAGTGCCCCATGATATCCTGGTGGAGAAACTGAGGAGTTTTGGGATACACCAAAGCACTGTCCAGTGGATTAGGACATGGTTGACTGACCGAAAGCAGAGGGTAACCATTAGTGGGGAATCATCGGGATGGCAGCCAGTGACAAGCAGGGTCCCCCAGGGCTCTGTCCTGGGGCCGATCCTGTTTACTCTTTTCATTAATGACATGGAAGAAGGGGTGAACAGTCTGCTGATCAAATTCACAGACGACACTAAAACTGGAGCAGTGGCCACGACTGAGGAGCAGGTACTCCAGATCCAAAAGGATCTGGACAGACTATGGAAGTGGGCAGGAGACAACAGGATGGCATTCAATGTGGATAAGTGCAAGGTCTTGCACTTGGGGCATAGGAATAGCTGTCATAAGTACAGGTTAGGTGACAAGTGGCTGGAGAGCAGCACTTGTGAAAGGGACCTCAGGGTACTGGTTGACTGCAGGCTAAACATGTGTCAGCAGTGTGATGCGGTGGTCAAGAGGGCAAACGCCACCCTTGGTTGCATAGCCAGAAGTGTGGCTTCTAGATTGAGAGAGGTATTACTACCACTCTATATGACTCTGGTGCACCCGCAACTGGAGTATTGTGCTCAGTTTTGGGCCCCTCATTACAGGAAGGATATAGCCAGGTTAGAGTCAGTGCAGCGCAGGGCTACAAGGTTGGTGGCCGGTTTGCAGGAGATGGGGTATGAGATGAGACTGAGGGAACTGGGTCTCTTCAGCCTGGAGAAGAGGAGACTCAGAGGGGATATGTTGGTGACATACAGGTCACATGGAGATAGGTAGAGACCTGTTCTCCCCTGCAGAGGAAGGCAGGATGCGCTCCAACAGAGCAAAGCTCAGGGAGCCAAGGTTCCATTTGGATGCTTCCTGGCATCCAAATGG